ATCCTGATCAAAAGGGGGAAAATACAGAACAGAATTTAAAATTCTCATGGACACCAGACTTTCTGGAGCCATGGAGGCTGGATAAACCCCTGAATCTATTGCCCTGAGATAATCTTTAAAACTTAAACCAAAAGTATCCTCTGAAGTCTTCTTAAAACTGAACAGTAGTTTAACTTAACTAGTAAAAAATGTCTGCCTTGAGCATTATGCTCTTTTAAGAACTGTATATATGGGATCAAATTGATAAGAGCAACTTGAAAGATTTGACAGGAACTTTAGGGGGCAGTGAGTTTATGTTGATTAGGGAGGAATAACTCAGAAAAGGAGGATGAGAATGGTTGGCTGCACAGCTCGAATGAAATCAATGTCACTGAATTGTACATGTAGAAACGGTTGAACTGGTAGATGTTTTGCTGTGTATATTCTCAACAACGACAAAATAATAAATTACCTGCTTGTGAAATGCAGATGCTGGAGCCATACCCCCAAAGATTCTGTTTCTCTAAACCCTCTTAAGAATCTACATTTTTATCAAGCACACCTTTGTGGCTGGTGTCCCTTGTTGTTGTTAGTTGCTGTCGAGTTGATTCCAACTCATGCTAGTATCAGAGAAACCCAATATTTGTAAACACTGTAACAGCCTGATACGAGTTGGGCGACAGGGCAATGAAGAAACAGTCTTCTAGTCTTCGTCCCACATTTTTACTTCAGTTGAAGAAAAGGCACAAATTCAAACCACCGTTCTAATCTCTCAATACTATATTTAGAAAATTTGATGATAACGGAGGGAGAACCACTATAGACAGGAGTAGCTGACCAGGTCAAAGCAAGAGTAACTTTCTATATTCCAGTTGGTTAGTAAACTTAGAACATGTGACTAATTTTACTGTCTTACATTGAAACCACTATTTTTAGTATCAGAATGTTTTGGGCCAAAAATAACATAAGGTCTTGACTCAATCGCTTAATCAATATAGAATTTTTTTTATTTTCATGACAGGAAGCCCAGAGGGTGGTTGGGCTCCAGGGTTGGTTGATTCAGTGGCTCAATAATATCATATTGGACCCAGGTTCTTTCTGTTTCTCCACTGTAGCTCCTGCTATGTCAGCTTCATCCTAACCTAATACTCATCTGCCCTCCCCCTACCACCACTACCAATACTACAGTCTTCGTTTTTAACACCCAGCAGAAGAAACTCTCCCGTAATCATAGAATGTAAATTTATTCCTTCAGTTTGATGACCAGCTTAGGTACAGGAATGCCATCAGCTAATTGATTTATGAGGGTTAAGGGTCCATCTTCAAAGCTTGGGGATATGGTCACTTTTCCCTGAAGTGCATGGTTGGATGGAGGAACAAAATCAGGGTTATGTTAAAGTTTGGGATACTTGATGGTAAAATATGCTATTACTAGAATTTATCCTGAAATTAAAAGAATACAGAATCTGCTAAAGTTAATATTAGCAGATTTTATACCCTGTTGATTTTAGAAAGACTGATTCTTTCCCAGAATAGCCAAAGTCGTTTCATGGGAGAAGTAAAATGCTCTATTTGTTCTCCTTATTTGTTAACTGTGGATAGAGTCCGGAATAATCTTTTCTTTTGCTTTCTTCAACCTTAAAATGCATTTAGGTTAGCTTTGCGAATGAAGGTAATTAAAAATGTTATTTGAGCTCAGTTTCTTTCTTCTGTACGTTTATGATGTCATTAGGTCAGTATTGGCATAGAAATCCATGGATTGAAAAAGCAAATACTTTGAGATCCCTTAGTTTTTCTAAGAGCCTTGGTGGCACAGTGGTTAAGCACTTGCTGCTAACCAGAAGGTCAACAGTTCAAACCCACCAGCTGCTCTGTGAAAGAAAGATGTGGCAGTTTGCTTCTATAAAGATTACAGCCTTGGAAACCCTATGGGGCAGTTCTGCCCTGTCCTGTAGATTCGCTGTGAGTTGAAATCAACTCAGTGGCAGCGGGTTTTTGTTTGTTTGTTTGTTTGTGTCTCTAGATACATTTTACTTGGACAAGAAAACTTGCTCCCCCAAGCCTTTAATTAAAATGTTTCCTAGGATTCTGCTTTTCCTGGGGAGCACTGGAATTCATCTCTTCAAGTTTGTATCTAAAATTAATTCTCTGAGTCCCTAGAGGAGAGAGCACAAACTGGTAACCCATTGTTAGGTTCACAGATATTTTAATGTGGTTACATGTGTTTAAGAATTATTTTGAATTAATTTACAGCAATGGAAAATCAGAAGATTTCTAGCCTTTCTTGAAAAATCAAAAAATCTTGGCATTCCCTCCTAGAGCAAAATAGCAGTTGCCCTCTTTCCACTCTCTAGTTTCATTCATTTACTGTCTGTACCTGGCTCTGGAGGTGTTTGATACTGAAGTGCCTCCCTTCCCCCATAAACTTTACATTAACAGAAGTAGGGAAAAAAAACCTATTGGCATCTTGTACCTTTTTGAAATGCATGTCTGTTAATGTACAGTTCAACCCCTCTCCCGCCCCCACAAGATTTTAGAGTGTTTATTCCATTAGACTCTGAACAAAGCTGTTAATATATATTGTGGCAAGATGTGAACACAGTCTGTTTCTAGGGCCCTTATTAATTTCTCTTCCAAGGTGCCCAGAAATAATATACTTTTCTGCCAGTTGGACCCTTTGGACATGATGAGAATATGGAGGCCATGGGCTTAGATTTTTCAAGCACGTACACATTTGCAGAAACAAAAAACCTAATCCGTGGCCATCGAGTTGGTTCTGACTGACAGCAACCCTATGGGACAGAGTAGAACTGCTCCATAGGGTTTCCAAGGCTGTAAATCATTACGGAAGCAGACTGCCACGTCTTTCTTCTGCCAAGCTGCTGGGGGGTTCGAACCACCGACCTTGTGGTTAACAGCTGAGCGCTTTTACCACTACACCACCAGAATAGCTACTGTATAGAATTAATAACTAGAATTAATACAGCTCAGAATATCTAAATGAGGTACTCCTTTAAGTCTCACCCTACCGATGTTCCCTCTCATTATTCTCATGGCATAGTCCAGCCATATGGCAGCGTTGTTGCTTTATCTCTGATCTAAGAATACCACAGAGACCATATTGCTAGGGTAATTCCCATTTTCAAATATTCTGTCCAATTGTGCAAGACAGTTTGGGGGATAATAAAGCACAGAATTTAGAGTCAGAGGACCTGCAGTCAAACAAATCCCAACACTGTCACTACTTGTGAGGTAAGTGTAATTATCCCCAAATTACAAATGATGAACTTGAGAATTAGGGAGGTTAAGTAATTTGCCCAAGGTTATACCTAGTAAATGATGGAGCTACAGCTTGAATCTGTGTTTGGCTGGCCCTGGTGGCGCAGTGGTTAAGAGCTACAGCTGCTAACCAAAAGGTCGACAGTTCAAATCCACCAGCCGCTCCTTGGAAACCCTATGAGACAATTCTACTCTGTCCTGTAGGGTCTCTATGGATCAGAATCGACTCTACGGCAGCGGGTTTGTTTTGTTTTTTGTTCTTTTTGGGAGCTGGCTACAAACCTGGTACGCTTTCAAGACAACTAGACAGGAAAGTTTGAAGAATATAGTTTATTTTGGCAGAAAGAGAAGTTTAATTCATTTAACAGCTATTTAATGAGCACTGGATCCAGGCGTTAGGGCACAGCAGTGAGCAAAAGGCAACTAAAGCTTTTGTTCTCATCAAACTTAGAGTCTTGCTGGGGGAGAAAGTGAATTTATTATATCAAGAGGTGACATTTTTATGAAGAAAATTAAAACAAGGTAAAGGAAATAGGAATAGAGTGGTGGTCGTAAGATACTATTTCCTATAGAGTGGTCTGATAAGTTGACACTTGAATAGAAATCTGAAAGAAATGAGGAAGTGAGCTGTGCAGATATTTGAGGAAAGAACCTTTCAAGAAGAATAATAATGATTCTGAACCAAAAGAAGCCTTGGCATCTTCCAGAAACAGCCCGGAAGTATGTGTGGCTGGAGAACAGATGAATTCAGAGAGTTAGCCAGGGAAGAGCCATGTAGAACTTGGTAAAACTTAGTTAAGGTTTACTTTTTTCTGTGAGTATTTAGAGGATTTTGAATGTAGGAGTAACATAATCTTACTTTTCTAAAAGATCACTTTAGTTATTGTATGGAGAAAAGAATATAAATTGACAAAGATGGAAGCAAGAAGACCAGTTAGGAAGCTGTTGCCATAATCCAGGTAAGAAAGAGATGATGATAGCCTGGATTAGAGTGGTGCTGGTGTAGATGTAGAGGAATAGTTGGATTAACTGTATCATTTGGAGGTAGAATGACAGGATTTGCTGATGGATTGGGTTTGAGGGTGTGTGGAAGGGAAGGGGCTCCAAGGCTTTTGACCTAAGCAAGTGGAAGAATAAAATTGCCTTTTATTCATCTGAGGAAGACTGTGGGAGAGACGCATGGGCGACAGGTAGAAAAGCAAATCTAGGAATCGGTTTTTTACATATATCAGTGAATTATATTGAGTTTGAGTTATGGTGGGACATTCAAATGGATCTAAATTCAATAGTTATCCAGGTAGGAGATAAGAATACATTTGCCATTCACCTATGGATGATGAGAGCCATGGGATCAGATGAACTTCCCCAAGGATGTGTATAGAGAACAGAGATCTGAGGGTAGAACTTTAGACAATGGCCACATTTAAGGAAATTACTTTCTAAGGTTGCAAACAAGATAGTTCATAAAAGTATAGAAATTACCCATTATTGTAAGCCAGAGTCTATACTAATGAAAGAATAACAGCAGGTTTTTTTGTTTTTTTGCTATGGTATACTTTTAAAAAGAAAAAAGTAGATACGTAGAAATTAGCTTACCTACACTGTAATTAGGTGA